CTGTGTTTTCGCAATGAGGACGTCCAAAAACACAGAGTTTGTCCAGATTTTCGCCAAAAGGATGCAGGAAGCCCAAGCCAGCAAAAAAGCCGGCAGGGGGAATCGAGCCTGGGACCCCTGTTTTGCCCCGAAGACTACGTTTAGTGGAACGTCATCAAATTGCCGCGCGGTACGCAGGGGAGGGGGGGGGGGGCGCTGCCAGGGGTACCTATCCCAGAAGGGAACTGGTACCCTGTGGTAGTAGAGGTTGTTTATGTGGTCCCTGGATCTATTCCGGAGAGAGTCCAATATGCCAATATGGATGATTGGAGGATGGATTGTCCCTGGTGGATTGTATTGTTGTATAATCCTGTAAGCGGCCTGCAAAGGTTCCTTTGTCACGCAATCATGAGTATTGCTATGGTACAGAAGGGCCTTGAGCCAAATGGTTGCGGGCGATCAACATTGGTCAAAAACAGACACAAAAACAGACACAAATTTCTTTTGATCGCCGGCACTAGATATGAAATATCTTTGGCTTCTTGGCCTTTGGCCGTAGCCTTGATTTATGCCGTAGCCATTGAAATACTGGATTCATCCTGTTGTCTGCGCGGGTGAAGTGTCTTGATTTGCAAAATGGAAAACAGTCTGTACTGATTCTGTGAGACACCTAGATGTATCTAAAAGATGATGTACAACGCTATGTACATGCGGGACGGATGTGAAACTATTGATCTCTCACTGAATAGTCTTGTTGGCGGTGAGGATCAATTCGGTTGAAATTCGTAGTGCCGATTTCGGGTGTTCTCTCAGTCGAGCTTGAGAAAAACTTCTTTCCTTGGCGGATCACTCAGACCAAAGGAGGTCGAATGGATGCCAGAGGTGCAGCTTCATCAGATAGTCAACGGTTCCACCGATAGCTGCTATCGGATTGGCTGCCGTAGTCTCCGTAGTCGTGCCAGGTCGAGTCGCTGTAGTCCTTCCACTGCTTCTGATTGCCCCACTGCTGCTTGTTGTATTCCTTATACTCTTGCTGAGTCCAGGATTGCTTCTTCTTGAAGTACTCCTTGGATCGCTCAAAGTTTCGCTGCTTGGTGGCAGATCTGCGGCGAATATAGACCATCAGCAGACTGTGTGAATCGGAATCTTGAGAGCAATTCATGAACATCTCGTTGTTCACGTGCTTCAAACGTTCCACGGATGAGACCTGATACAGTCGTAGGATCGTTCCGCATGGTGTCCAGTTGATCATCTTTCATTGCGTCCATCTCTTCCTTCCGGAAATCCTGCTGGATGTTTGTCTTGCCCCATCCAAATACGAAAGTCATCATGACATCTGGGAATGTCCGATCAAACCCGGATCCAGTCTTCATGTAGAGGTGATGACGGACGATGGATTTCAGGGTGCAGGAAGTCTCCATTGCATATTCCATTCTGGCAAGTTCTCCGTTTCATTCCACAATCTCTGGTATGCCTTCATGAGGATATTCATGAGACCGTTGTTGGCGTCTCCGGTGATCGCATCGCATTGATACAATGTCACGAGCGGCATGATTTCGGTTTGAAAATCGTCCCGTGCTGCTCCATGGCTGATTGATGGATGGATGTGAAAAACTCCAATGGTAGCATATGGGAGGTCTGCCCTCGTCACACGGCGGCTGTCGAATTCGAGGAGTGAATCATTGGATGACTTTGGAAACACGCCGCGAAATTCATCACTTTGCTCGATGTGGATGACGACAATTTCTTGTTGCGCCCATGTCCTTGGACAAGTGTGCGTGGCGGCAACCTCGGTCCAATGTATTTCTTGGATTCCCTGAACATGGATGTTCCTGTGGTTGCCAGGCAGTCATAGGTCGGGATGTCAGTGCAATGGTTCTTGGTTCCGAAGAAGCATCTGAACATACCGAATGTAGTTCCCCAGTTTGGAAATGTGTCGTGCCAATAGTTCCACTCTTGCGGAGGTCCGCCGCGGACAAAGCATGCGATTGGTTTGGATGACCATTGCTTGATAACTATGGCCTTGTACCCAAACCGGATGAACGTCTTGATGAGGTCCTTGGGTTTCTCATCTTGAGGACTGAGGAATGCGTCTGCTTCATTTAGGCATATGCTGTGCGCGCTGTTCTGCATCATCATCCTCGTGATTGGTCGATCCTTCATCGCCATGTTGTTCACCTCCTTGTTGTCCAGCTTTGGATTCCTCGTAAGGTTTCCGTGGTTCATGGTGAGCATGTTGATCGTCATGGATGAGGTGAACTCATGTGCCTTGAGATGGTCCACAGAAGGACGGTCAGTTGGTTGCATCAGCGATCCCAGGAGTCAGCAAATGCCTGGATGACCCCTGGTTCAATCCAAATGGAAGCTTGGTCGGATATCCTGATGCTGGCTGTGCCTTCCTGAACTCTTCCATGGATGGCCATTCTCCTCGGTGGTGGAAATAGAATTCTTGTTCCTCGAGGTTGACATCTGGATCAACATGTGCCAATGAAGCTCGCTCGCATTCTGTCAATTCGGGATGAGCTCTCTGTGGATCCCTGGCGTACTTCTCCATGAAGCGCGTGAAGTTGCTTTTGGTCTCCTTGAGCTCTTCCTGGCATCCTTCTTGGTCATGTCCATTTCAAGGTATGTCACCTTGAATTCCTTGATGAACTCTTCTAGGTTCTCGGGATTGTGATACTCCATGGTGACCTTCGTCTTGACGGATCTCTCCCTGGAGGGTCTGTTGGAAGATCGTAGTCTGGTTCTTCTTGACGAGGTTCACGCTTCTGTCCAGGCCAAAGGGGGCGTCCAAAGTATTGGAGATCGACTTGTCGAGTATGACAGCTGTTGCATCTCACGTAGAACTCCATCTCTGGATCATTGAGGAATCCTCTGCCATCAGGCCTGAGTGCATCATATGCGGATCTGGATGTGAGGTTGTCGATCCATCGATTCCTTGGAACAATGCGTCCCTTGTCCTTGCGTTCCTTGTACGACCCGTCCACGGATGGATACACAAAAGCAATCTCGAAACGTGCCTTTCAGGAAAAGTCCCGGCTTATTGCCCATGAAGTTCCTCGTCTGTGTAATGCATCCCAATGCATCGTAGAGCTCAACGGATCCGTCAGGATTCATTTCCACTTGTCGTCGGCATTCTCTGTGGGTGCCCTGATTTGGATCATGTCGAAAGCATCCGGAAAACAATCTGCTCAATCGAGAGGATGAGGTCGGTGATCTGTTTTGCCTTCGAGTGAAATGTTTCTCAGTGACAGGGCACTGGTCAGTCTTTCTCTCTGCTGATCTGACAATTCACTCTGAATGATGAAAAACTGCGCAATGAGATTATCCTTGAAGGGAAATGCGTCCCGCTGTCTGTCCTGCGTTCCGGTGATATACTGCCTGAGGACTGTCGGATCATCCTCATTCAGCAGGACTGCAGGCGGTGCTCGAGTCCCGGCTGCTTGGTGATGTCGAGCAATTGTTCTGTTGTTTGCGTCCTGTACGGACTGTCGAAATGATGGGGACTGTGCCGTGTAGACGGGCATCAAGGCCATCCATGCTGCCTTCAATCTCATGAGAAGGATTTCGAATTTGGATGTGAAAATGAGGAACTCTTGGTTCTGCCTTCTGTGATTGAAGAAACTGAGGAGCCTGTACAGATACACGTGCTTCTTCAGCGTGTTCTTGAAATAGTTGACTCCTTCATCAGGATCTTGCAAAAGGTCATTTTGGAGGACTGCTTTGTACATGTAAGCATCTCCTGTGAGTCTGCTTTTGAGGAGTGGTCCTCTCTTGGGTGCTTCCACCGTGGTGATTGTCACCCAGTCGTCCACGAGTTCTTCGTACCTGAACCAGCTGATTTTCCGTCGTACGATGGCGGCTGCTTGGCGGTCATCGATAAGTTGAGTGTTTCCTCCGTATAGCCGGATGATTTGGCCATACTTGAATAGGCCTCCATGAAGCCGTCTCCATCGGGTGACATTTTTCCTTGGATCTCTGCGGGGGTGTTATCCTCTATCCTCTCTTAGGTATCCGACACGCCGAACAATGTCGGCGGATATATAGGTGTATATGCACATGTGTGTGCTGTGCAAAGAGCGACGTTCAGGCAGGAGTGGACGTGACCGAACAAAAAGGGCTCCCCTAATTCTGAGAAAGGAGCGGCAGCCTGAGTCCATGCCAGTTGGATTCAGCAGCACTGGGCCCCCATTGCAAAACACCCAGATGTGAACATGATTTGGGTTTGGAGCTTTGGATTCCGGATGCTTGAGTGGCAGGTGTGAGCGAAAATCAGGGCGACGTCAAGCTCGACCCAGAAAGCAAGGCAGGGCGTGCAAATCGTGTATTACATGGACCATACCGGTCTTCCTTGAACACTTGTGTGTTGTAACGGCACTTGCGCAAGCCACGCCAATGCTTTGACTTGGAACACTCGATTTGGGTGGAGTTGCAGTTGATGGCTTGCGAGGTTCACCGGACCTTCTGTGATGTGGACATGATTGACTTGGGGCGTAACTGCGCAGCCATGGGCCGCCCGATCAACGGGTTGCGGCTGTGCTTGCGCCGGACCCTCCGTGCTGCGCCGAGCGCAAGACAAATTCTGCTTTTGAAGCCACGGGCCCAGCAGAGGGACAGGCCAGAACAACGACCTGTTGAGTTGGAACTTGGGCGAGGCAAAGTCTGGGAAGCGCGTTGCATGGACATTTCCCTCCTTTCGCACGCCAAAACTTTATGCAACCAGCAAGCGTTCAGCTCACAAAGTTGCAGGCCACTGGGGCTCATTGCCAGGCCTTTCTCAGGCAATCAGCTCATCCCAGGTACTCTTTGCCAGCAAAGTCCTTGCTGCATGGTGAGCGGGCAACCCGCTTCACACACGCCAACTGCAAGCTGCGAACCAAGTCTGGTAAGGCAAAGCTGCGCCTGACGCCCGAAGCTCTGCTTACCTTGTGGCAGGCGCTGCGCATGTCGCGCTTGAGGCAAGACACAGTCTTGGCCAGGTGTCAGTTTGCTGAGCCCGACGCAGCAAAGGCCCAGCGTGTGCTCGTGGTGCCATCCTTGAAGTCTCCAGAGGCAAGATCGCGGAATATGGTACTGCGATGCAGGGTAACGATAGGCTCAGTGATTGTTCGAGCCACCAAGCAGCAGGCATTTCACTGGCGCGGGCTATTGGAGATCCATGAGCTCCTCTCGCCGTGCAGTTTTACGTGGGAGCCGGTGGGGCTGAGGTGGCCCAAGTCTCCTTGGCGACTTTTGGCTTTCAACTTGACTGCCAATCGACTTGCCGCCCGTGCGGGGATTGCAGTGCAGATTTCAACTACCAAGCCTCAGCCAGACTTTGAAACGGACACGCCTATTCGTCACCAAGGCTACTTTATCATCAAACACTGCGAACTAGTGCTTTCTGTTTACGTCGAGCAGAATTTGACTCCCCCAAAACTGCTTGGCTCGCCCAGACTGGTTGCCGGCTGGTTTGCTTTTTTCTCGCTTGGCTGGTCTTTGAAAAGTCAGTCGCCTGACGTGATATCAGCTTGCTCGACTGGCGTCGCGGACGCCGACCTGGAAGATTCGGACATAGCGATTCTGGCTGGGCCTTTGACAAACAACTGCCTCAGACACGAGCAGCTGATGTCCGCTATATGTGCTTGTCGATTGCAGGCTTGTGATAGGCAGAGGCTGCAAGTCATTGCCTTGAAGGCGGAATGGGGACAGACACTCCTTGGATTCAAACATGCTATCCACACTCGGCTGCCCTCAGCAACAGTCGGCAAAAGCAAGCTTTCGATGCTCGTGGTCGAAGTTGAGTTCGAGAATCGTTTGTTCTTTGCCAAGCAGCTTGAAATGATTTGCACCAGTGGAAATGGTGAACACGCGCCTTTAGCAGCCCCTTGCAAGCAACATGTGGTCTGTTGGTCGCACCTCGAGGTCCGGCGTGCTCCTTACATTTTCCAAATCAGGCGCTGTGCAATTTTCTGCAGACCCTGCAGCCGCTTGTTGGACATGTGCGCCGTGTCTATTGCACTTGCGGATGGGGCGCGCGCCTCCATGGATGAAGGAGGAAGTTCTCTTGCAACCAAGCAGATAGCCAAGAGTCGGGGCGCAAAGCTTTCCGCCGAGATTCCGAGCTCTTGGGCGCGGGCCCTACGCTTTGGCAGAAACGCCATACTGCGGCTGCAAGCGCTGGACCCTGGAGAAGATTCCGCAGTTTCTGCATGCAGGCTGTGGGAGGTGGCAAATCTCCAGCTGGTTCCTGCTGCCTTTGGCGCACTGCTGCAAAGTGTCGCACGGCATTTATGCTCGTTTCTTGCACGTGGCAGGCGCTTTAAGGTTTGGTGCCGTTTGCAGGTAGGTGAAGCTCTTGCAGTGCGTAGGGTAGCCATGGTCTCGAGCTGGAAGGCTTGCCTTCAGTGCCGGAACGCAGAGATTGGGTCTCTCCAGAGTCGGGCCCACATTTTTCACCGGTACATTCCGCCTCTCCGCTGGCCGCGTTGCCGGGGGACAAGTGAATTCCCATGGCACGAGCTTGGGTGCCGCTCACAAGGTGCAAGCCTCAAACTTCAGGCAGTCAAGGCATCAATTGCGACGCGTGGGATGCACAGGCTCAGTCAGACAGTGTGCGTGGCAAGGGGATGCCATCTGGCAGTTTTGTGCACCAAGGTCTGCCCGCCTTTTCGCACATGCAGGATGGAGTCTTTGCAAGCAGAAGATGAAGCTGTGGCGCAGGCCAATGTGGGCAGGAGCAAGCTGACGCCCAGGTTGCGCAGTCCAACGCAATTGCAGGGGGCCGTTCTTCGAAAGCTGTTTGATCGACAAACTCGCTGGCCTCTGTGCGTTGCGAAGTTTGGGGGCTTGGGCACCAGGCAATGTGCTCCATGCAGTGCGGAACGCTTTTGGCCGCAGCTTGAAATGTTGGTGCTCTCACCAACTTGGGCAAGTGAGACGCAGCAGTTGCTGCAGAAGCATGCGGATTGTCTGGGAGATCGGGGCCATTTTGACCGCGCGGAACGCGATCAATCGCGTCGTCTCATTTGCTGGAAATGGTCGGCTTGCGCCTGCTGGAAGTGGAAGGCTTGCGGGCACCAGGGGCGCAAGTGGCTCACTCGTGCGACTCAAGTCAGTCTCTTGGTTTTCTGTTCCGCTTTGGCAAGCTGGCGCCGGGGTGCTGCGGGAGGAAGCGGCAGCCAAATGGGAGGCTGACCCTTTCTTTGGCCAGCTTTGGCGTGCAGCGCTCCTGGATTTCTTTTGGGCACCGCCGATCGCGTTCCAGGCCTTGCTCCAGCTGCAATCCCAGGACCTAGCCCGCCAGGATGGCCAACAGCTCTCTTTGTCCGACACGCACTGACGTGCAGATCTTGGTCAAGAATGGTAAGTTCTTCACCCGGCGTGCTCAACTGGCTTCAGAGCAGCTTTGCGCGAATTGCTCGCTTTTTGCCTTGCTTCGATGGATGCGTTCCAGGCGACATTTGGCGATACCATTCAAGGCAGCACGTGCTATTTGCCGCAAGCCTTCAGATCTTCGCCCAGGGCGGCAGGCTCCAAGCAGAGGCCCCTTGACTGACTAGACGCTGTCAAGACGGGGTGTTGCGGTGTGGAACGTTATGAATTGCTGCCCGTGCTCTTACTTGCTTGTAGCCAACCTTTCAATGACTTTTTGTGTCGAAAGAGGTTTGGAAGCAAAGTCCACATTGCTAACAAGTGTCGCAGCGTCGCTTTCAAGCGTCAGCCCGATTTCTCCGCGGCAATCCTGCTCAGGAGAGTTACAGTTAAAGTCACTCCGTTGCATTTTGAAGGCCAGTTTCTCGATGATGTTGCTCGATGATGTTGCGCGCTGCTTACATAACGCATAGAAGAGGGCCCGCCATACTGCGACACACCATCCGCCAATTCTTTGCGTGTTAGATATGCCGGCCCGATTGCCTTTGCCTTGTCCGCCTTCAGCAACCCGCTGAGGCTTGTCACGAGCTATGATCCACACGATGGTTCAGGCTTGGCCAAGCCTTGCTCCGTGGAGTCCCACATCCTTGTCGCGGCAACAGGACTGATTGCTTTGGGTTCTTCTCCAAACAAGGGGTCCTCATGATGACAGATCGCTGCTCAAGTAGATACATGTAACAATAGCCAAGCCATGACACATCATACTACATGACTGATTGATTGGTAAGTGGGGCAATCGGATTCCCTGCTGTGTTTGTGCATCCCCAAATATCAAAGAGAGGTGGATGATGTGACCGGTGGTCTTATTTCATACAAATCCAAGGATTTTCAGGATTGGAACGTGTGCTGTGCAGTAAGGGATACCAGGGCAGTGCTGAGGGAACAAGGGGCAAGAGAATACTACAGGAACAAGAACATGCTAGGGGAATATTAATAGAATAATTGGACATTCCATAGTAAGGGCAAACTAACGGAACACTAAGAGCATACCGAGAGGGTACTTAAGGAATACTTGTGAACAATTAAGGGATATTCGGGGAATACTAGGGGGAACACAAATAGGAACGCTAGGAGAATACTCGGGGAACATTGGGGACTACTCGGGGTATACCAAGAAAATACTAAGGAGTACTAAGGCAATATAGGGGCAAGACAATGCTAAATGAAAGGCCAATGTTAGCGGACTATTTCGGACATACTAGGGGAATATCAAGGGAACACTGGGGGAAGTACTAAGGGTGAATATTAGGAGAATACTAAGGGAATGCGAGGGACTTGGGGAATATGAAGGGAGTACTAGCGGAAGGGGGAACATGAGGAGAATACATCGGGAATTACTGGAAATGCTACGGGAATAGTGAGGGACAATTGGGCGAACGGAGAAAATACCGAAAACCAACCAAACCTTGAAACATGGAGGATCTCGACTCAAGAGGAGTTGAGTATTCAGACTCAAAGTCGGAAAACCACCTCGGGAAATCGAGTCAAATATTCAAGCTCAAAGCCGACAAACCACCTTGAGAAATCAAACAAACACAAACAATCTCTCAGGGGAAATGCATTGGAACCCAAAACGCAAGCAACACCTCCAAAAACCAAGTATTCAGACTCAAAACCGAAAAACAGCTCGATAAATCTAATTTTCAGACTCAACATCAAAAACACACTTCAATAATTCGAACAAAAAGAAAGAAATGACTCTGAAAACATACTTCAGGAACATGTTTCTGTGGACCTCACCTTTCCCCTCTTTCTGAATCCTTGGTTTCCGACTGATCCTTGGTTTCCGAATCACAGCTTTTGGTTTCCGAAGCGCGGCTTATGGTTTGCGAGTCACGATTTTTAGTTTCCGAACTACGGTTTATAGTTTCCGAGTCATCCTTGGCTTCCGAACCATGGGTTATGTTTTCCAAATCACCATTTCCCGTTTCCGAACACAACTTTAGCACTTCGTGCTGCGGTTGAAGGCTCACCTCCATGCTCCTCACAACCAGGGACTCCTTGAACATTTTTTTCAATGCCCGGCATACTTCTAGCTTCAGGCTCTGAACAGATCTCTCAGGCTTTTCATGCTATTTTGCTGACAGATGTCAGGGTTTGGCAATGTAGGGCTTTGCGCAATTCCGATGGAAAGACATCCGACAACCAAGGGATGATGCGCCGAACGTCCTACAAACCATGTCAATTTAGGGTTGGCCCAGCACTTGCAGGAGATCATCATTGCCGAGAGGCACAGATGGCCCAACTACTCGATTGCCTTTTCCAGACTTTACAATGGGGTGATTGCCAAGGACGTGCTTGAAGCAGCAACGTGTTGGCTACAGGCATTGCACCCAATCCTGCGTACAACCTACAAAGAGGATCTGCCGTGCTTTCAGCAGGCCAGTGCGGGGCGCAAAGCAAAGTACTGCCAGCGTGTGAACCCTGAAGTCTTCACTGACGTCCTGACACTTCAGAGCACTTCTTCAGAAGAAGAAGCAGAGAGGCTCGCCTTCGCTTTCACGGAAGCTGGCTGGGATTTGCTGACTCGCCCGCCTTTGCGGATTCTTGCGGTTGAGATTGCAGGGGCCTCGTCCCTGACTCTACTCGTGGTGCAGATTCATCACATTGCAGCTGATGGCGTCTCCATGTCCATTGTGGACAAAGATTTCCGGATGGCGATACAATCCCCATGCGCTATCCTAGCAAAGCTGAAGGACTGGGAAAAGGACAGGGCCAAACGGCAAACGCAGAGGCGATCGGAAGAGGCGCCCAGGCTGCACCGGGGGAGGTAAGGTGGTGGAAGCGAAAGCTAGCGACGGCCCTTGATCTTGCAGATATAGCTGTTCGCTTTTCACATTTTGCTGAGCGTGTGTCCATGTGCGAGGAACGGTCGTGCCCCTTTCGCTCTGTGTTTTGTTGCAATGAGCGGTCAGTGCCTTTGTTTCCTGCTGGCTGGGCCCCATTTTTCGCATCTGAAAAATGGGAGACATCTAGGCGCTGATGCTTGATGTCGCTTTTTGATAGACTTAGGCTCTTGGTAGGGGCCAGGGCTTGATTCCACGTTGATGGTAGGGTGCAGGTAGCGACGGGGTTCTCATCTTCTGGCGTTCAAGTCGCTACGCTAAAGCATCTAAATCCCCTTTGCCCAAAAGCGTAAGGAATGTGTGAGTGAACGAGTGTGATTTTATTCATGCAAATCTGAGGCTCCATATTCTTTGTACACAAAGCAGCAGCGAAGCTTTCTCCACAGCCCAGAAGGGAGGGCGCAGAAGTCATACTGGCGCGTGCCTTATTTGTTGAGGCGCGCTGAACGCCAACCCGCGCCGCACTGCGTTTGATTGCAATCATTTACAATGGGGCAAGGGGGAGACGTTTGTATCTCAAACAACTTTTGGTATGCAATGTGTTCTTGCGCACCCTGTTGGCCAACTTGCTACTTGGGCCGAGGCAGCGACAGTTGAGCCTAAACGTGTGGAGCTTGGCGCTGCCCATTGACAAGCCAAGGCAGGAAGTTGCAAAGTTGTCAAGAGCTTTGGCTATTTTCTATTCGCAATTGGGTTTCCATTCGCAATCAGAGCTTTGGCTAGTTTCGCCAAGTACGCCAGAGTACGTGCTGAGTTGACCAAAGCCACGCTACATGGACCGCGCACATGTTGACAGCCTCAGAGAGAAGCTGTGGGAGCATTCTTTGGCGAGACAGCTTTTTTCCTATAGTTTTGTTTGGTGACGGCTCAATTCAATTGTAGTTCGTCTTAGGCCCGCCGTTGCTTTTCTGAAACCCCTTTCCTTTGGTGGCACTTTGTTTGTGTCTGCTTTGACGACTTTGGCGGTGTGCGTTCGTCATTTGGCACTTTGATGTGCAATAGACTCACAAGCCATACTCAATTTTTGCACTGATCCTAGGATCTTACACTTCGGTGCCCGTTTGGTGCGTAGAGATCGTGGTCGCTTCGACTCGTCCCATCATGTAGATCAGACGATCGTCTGTGGCTACTTCGACCTTGAGTTGGCATTTTTGACTGCCTATTTGCTCCGAATTTCCTACTGACAGGCGATCATGTGCAGAGAGTCATGCTCGCTTCGTTGGCCAGCTTGCTGAAATAACTTCTTGAGTCAGTCGCTTGGGCCTGGCAGCGATTGCTATGCAAATTGCCAACCCTCAAGGCAGAATTCAGGTTCAGAGGCTGATGCCGGCAGAAAGAGAACGAAGCGCTTCTTGTTTTAGCCGCACTTCTGCTACAATTCTCTACCCCCGCTTGCCGTACTTGATGACTGCGCCATTTGGGCGATTGTGTGCACCAGCGGAAAGCGGGGAACTTCCAAAGTGAAAAGGAAGTTTGGCTTGGCAACCCGGGCACCGACAAACAAGAAAGAACCACCCAGGCTGGAAATGCGAACGTGCGCGCTCGCGGGCTGCGAACCGCCAGAGTTTCCCGCTCCTTTGGCTTGCTTCATTTTTTGTCTGTCGCCAGTTCGTTTCAGCGGGCTGGCGGTTCTTCTTTGCCCCAGGCCTCGCGTGCAGCGTTCCTTTGGTGACTCCTACAGCTTCGAGCTGCCCGAAGAGTTTCTCAGGGGCTTCCGCGTGGCGCCTCGGCTTGTCAGCCGTCTTAGCGCAGTCTCGTAGAAACCTGCGATGTGTTGTAGGCCCGGCGCCAATAAGTCTTCACCGATTGTTTCTTCAGGCCCCCTCACCAATCGATTCGTCGGAGCCCATCTTTTTTTCAGCCCCCCAACCTATTGTTTGCACAAGACAACCATCTCAGTAGAAGCGGAAGTCAATAGGCTTGGGTCGCTGCTCAAGTCAGTATTTTTCAGGGGGCGATGGCGTGCAAATTCGGATCCGGGGCAACACGTCGAGAAGGCGCTTGATGAGGCGTGTGTCCTTGGTTGCGTGCAGAAAACTAAGTCTCTGGCGAGAGAAAATATTCCTGGTTAGAATGCCAGGGTTTCCTTCACCAGCTGCGCTGTTGGCAACAAAAACTGAGCCAACATTGTTGCCACGCTTGAATGGTGATCAGATTTCAGGACAGGGCGACGTCCTTTCACAAGACCCTGGCATTGTGGGCGCTTGCTCTCTGCAAATGGTCAGCAAAAGACTCAGTGGTGGTTGGCAGCCCGTGCGCTGGACGACTGGATGGGGCCTCGAGTGGCGCAGTTGGCTGCTTTGCGGACCTGCTCATGTACTACATTCACGTGCAGGAGTCGTTTTCAGCAGTGGATTTTTTGTGCGCAGTTCGCAGGGTAGCGGCTGATGTAGATGCCAACAGACGTGTGCCTTTTGGCGAGATTGTGCAGATGGCTGGCGAAGCGCAATCAGAAGACGAAAGCCGGCATCCTTTGTTTCAAGCCTTGCTGACATGGCAGCCGAAGGGTGGATGGGAGCGATTCTTTGAGATAGATTCAGCGCACCGTGGCAAACACGGAATATTGGTGCCCTCTTTTAATCAGGCGTTGGCAGTAGCGTGTCAGTTTTGGGCAGTCCTGGCAAGGAGGTTGCCTGATTGGCTTTCTTGGAGATTTGGGTTGTTGCATCCTCTTGACATGTCCCTTAGTTTGCCTCTGGCAATTGAGAGCCAAGGGATTGGACTGGGAAGCGCTTCATCTCTCCAGAGACGATGATGTGGGATGTGTGGCTGGACGCTTTTGAGGATGCTGATCATAAGGTGCCTCGTTTGCTGTAAGAGCAGTAGGCTTGGTGGCATGTGGGCTTGTCATCGGCCTTTTGTTCCGCTCCAGAAGGCATGAGGCTGCGAGGATGACCTTGTCTGGACAGCTCAAGCCCCCGCCCGCTTTCTTTCTTTTCCTGGATCAGCCAAAGAAAGCTGTTTCTGGAAAGGCAACCCAAAACCCTTTTGGATGGACGCAGCACGTGGCGTGTTTTTTCCCAACCGAGAGCAAGACGACAGCAATACGGATTTGACATGGTTCACTTTTAAGCTTGCCGAAAGCGGCAACCCATGCTGCAAGACTGAGGTCATTTGCAATCTGCATTACCAGAAGGATCTCTTCCTCTTCGAGACTGGCCAGCGCATGGTCGGCTCAATCAAGCGCTTGGCCTTGTTCTTGGCCCAGAACCCTGGTCACAGAGTTTGGCCTCGCGTGCCTCAGCTGTGTTTGCTGTGCACGTGCTGCATTTTGCATTTTCGCCGCGGTGTGCAGGGCGGGGGAGGGGGAACGCTGGTGTTTGGCAGACCAGAGCGCCAGCTTCTAGAGGAGAGACTTGCGGCTTGGCTTTCGATGGATGCAGTGGCTGGGCGCTTCCGCCGCAATCATGGAATGGTCAGGATTTGGAAGATGAGCTTTGGCCGACCGCCCCAGGCCGCCTGCGAGATTGAGTGCAAGCCACGCAACCGCCCAAGGATTCACGGCGGGTTGGGTTATCCCGGGACCCCGGGCCATTCAACCCCCATAGAAAACAAGATCATTGGGCTAAGCAGAAGCCAGCTTGGAGCATGCCGGGGCAAGCTCCAAATCTCACCTGCTTTTTTTGGGTTCTTTGTGGCATGTGCACGTGCTGGCGTGTATGTGCGATCTTTTCGCCTTCGGCCCAAGCGTTGCAATTTGTGCTGTAAATCGCGCGTCGTGACTATTGGCCTGTTGCAAGGGCTCTAATTTCGGCAAGCTGGGACGCACAAGTACCAAAGAGCATGTGGTATTGTCAGAGGCTTGGTGTCTCTCATGTACCAGTGCAGCGTGGGCCAGAGCACCGGTGGTCTTTACTTTGCCTACGCTGCCCGCACGCAGGGCTGCCAGAGGCGGGGGAGTTGAGGCAGAAGTTGCGACAACTGTTAGGCGTCTAGGAACCTAATAAAGTGCAGATGTTTTTGCAGTTTGCATAAGTTTTGCCAGTCATTGTACTTTGTTTGATTTCCCGTGTTTCTGAACGCACTTCCGAGCGCATTCCGAGAGTGTGTTCATTGATGCATCTTGAGAGTTGTATTGAACGAAATCATTGCGCCAGAGTGCCAACTTTCGGGAATTGCAGCCAGATGCTGGAACAAGCAGTTTGCTGGCGACGGGATGGAGGCATGCGGCTTGGGCAGCCTTTAGTGCGATGTTGCCAGAGCTTGATCCTTTTCGCAGACTGGGCAGGGCTGCGGATATGTCTTCAAGTTGGGTTCCGAAAAGTTCAAAGGGCACAGGCACGCAAACACACACACACAGACAGAGACAGAGACAGAGCCAGAGACAGGCAGATAGACAAGATAGCCAGAGAGACGGACAGAGACAAACAGAGATAGACGGAGACAGACTGACAAACAGACAGAGACAGAGACAGAGACAGTGACAGTGATAGTGACAGAGCAGACAGACAGACAGACAGACGGACAGACGGACGGACAGACAGACAGACATGCAGGCAGGCAGGCAGGCAGGCAGGCAGGCGCGCACGCACGTTGCGCTGCGGGTCGGAGCGGCTCTCCAAGACGCTTGCGCTGTCTCCAGCAATGAATTTGAGTCTGAAGGCGCAAAACACCGTGCGACGCAGGCGCTAAATGTTGGGCGTGAAGTGGACGCCGCTGTCGTGCCCAAGCCAATTCAGGACATGCTTCTGGAAACCGGAAGCACCAGCCCGTGACCTTGCCTGTGAGATGGCGTGGATTTTGGGTCCTTGTGGGTTGGAGTGACTTGTCCTTGTTTTGTCGCACGTCAGCATGGCGCAAATCTTGAGACCTGCTATTTGCTGGCTGGAGTACGCCCTTTCAGCCGGCCTGCTCTCTCTCAGACGGCAAATGAAACAGTTGCCGTTCTTGGAGAAACACAGCATGCGCGGCCAGCGAAATGCGACTAAAGACCAACTTAGGAATCAATGGATCACCTGCAAGATGAGAAAGCGTGCCCAGCATTCTTGCGATGTTGCATGTTGGTCGAAGGTTATCAGGGCTTGCATAGCTGTTGGCCGCGGGTGCTGGGATTCTACTTTCATACAACTAGGTTGCCGCTGCGGCTTCCTAGTTTCGTTTTGGATCAATGAACAGCGGGGCACTCATCATAGTGGCTCGAGCCGTTGTCAACATACAACCGATATACCGTATCTGAGACAGCTCGAAAATGAACGCCTGTGCGAGTGCCTGGCCGGCTTCGGAGACTTGTGTTCCACCTTGGCATGTGGGTATGGGTCAAAATTAAACCACCAGGGGACCGCAGGTTTTGGTCCATGTTTCCACTTACCAGGGTTCCATTTGCGATACCTATTTTTGACCCACAGCCATGTGTTTGAGCATATTGGCCTAGTGCTTAAACAGTGAGATAGTCAGTTGGGCGTTTAGAGTTGCAACCGGCCTACATTTGTGACACGCGTGTGTCAGTTTTTGCTTGCGTCACATGCTGCAGCGGATTCAGTGTGCTGTGGTCATGGGGCAAAGGCAGCCACTATCATAGCGTTTGGCAGATGAAGACAACAACAGCGCCACCTGTGGATGGGAAACAAGAAACCAAAGGGCTTTTGCCTGCGATTGCGGCATGCAGCATACAACGTCAAGCTTGTACTGCAGCCATACAGAAGGACACGAAGCAGAGCCCATTTGAGTTATATGTCAAAGGTGAAGCAGATTGCGATGTAGTGTGTGTATTTCTTTGTACGCGCTGTACTTCGTGAGACATTCCTGCTGTTTGTGAGTTTTACTGCGATATGTTTCCAAGAGGGTTGGCTTGTTAATTGTGTGACGCTTTTCCGGTTGATAATGAACACTAGGTCACGAAAGGGTTTCCTCAGCTTCCATAGAAGGCTAGGAGATCTGTGATGCAAGCAACCAGTTGCAGAATTGGAAGGGGCGCAAGTATACTCCAACCAGCTGTCTTTTCGCTTGTTGACCGCATCTTCGTCCAAATGCCCAAAGTCACAACTCAATAAAATGCTGCAAGTGAACCAGGCAGAAGAAACACATGCAAAGCGCACTGTTTGGATTATAGGATACTTACCCAAAATCATGGGGTAATTGTAAACGCTTCGCGTTGCCCGCCTCGGCCCAGCCTAGTTTGAGGGAAGGGTCAGGAACACCGAAATCCAGTGTTGGGAAGGTCCGAATCCTACTGAAAGCTTGTGACCGCACCAGTTCGCCCGTGCTAGTTCGATGTTCGGAAGCCGTCCTGCTCGGAAGGTTTGAAATCCAAAACCAAGACTATCTCAGCTGCTCAGTGCCCTTGGAAAAAAAAGGACCTCTTTCTGGGGATGAGCATTTTTAGTGGGGCTTGGCCTCCATAAAAAGGGGAACAATAATTGGTGTCACTGAACAACCAAGACCAACTTTGGGTGTTTGGGCACCTCCATTTCACGTGGCTGGCGGCTTGCCATGACATACATTTCTTGCTCGGTTGCTCAGCCCAAGACAGGTACATGGTCGGAATACAAACCTCCATTTGCTTAAGTACCCCGGAAAAATATCCCCAATAGACACGCCAGCAGGCGGGCTGGGCCTGCTGGGTGACTTGGGGCCAGACACGAGCAGGAGGTCAAGGCCTGGTCAGCTGCTTGGGCAGCCGGACACGTCAGACAGGCTTGGTAGCTGGCGTAGCTTGAGACCAGTCTCAGAGTCACGTTAGACAAACCTGACCTTGGCACGCTGGGCTGAGCCTGCTTATAAACTGGGAGATGGGGGCCGGCCTAGTGGCTGGCATGCCCTCAGATGCGCCGGGGCGGCTGGTTGGGCTGGGCCTGAAGCTTAGTCTCAGCCACAAGGCTGCGAAGCCATGGGTTGCTGGCTGCCGGGCAGCCGGACTACGCTGCTGGTTCTTGAACTAAACGGCGGGCTAAACTCACTCCTCTTGGTCTGAGGGTGGGTGGCGAGTTGCTGGCTGGGCTGGGCCTCAGGCCAGTCGCAGACACGTAAGACACGCCAGCAAGCGGGCTGAGGGACTGGGCCTGAGGCTAGTCTCAGGCTAGCATATTTTGAGACCAGTGTCAGACTGCGCCGAAAAGGCTGGGCCTGCTGGATAACTTGGGGCCAGACGCGAGCAGGAGGTCGGCCTGCTTAGCCGGACTGAGGGGCTGGGACACGTCAGACAGGCTTAGTAGCTGGCGTAGTCAGTCTCAGACACGTGAGACTGGTTGTTGGCCTGAGGCCGAGCCTGCTGGTGGGCTGGGAGCTGTGGGCCGGCCTAGTGGGCCTGGGCTGGGCTGGGCTTGCTGGATGACTTGGCCGTGCTTGGGCGGGTTGCTGGTTGGGCTAGGCCTGTTTCAGACAAGCTTGGGCCTGAGGCTGGGTGCTGGCCAGCAGGGTTGCTGGTTGGGCTGGGCCTGAGCCTAGTCTCAGACACGTCAGACAGACCTGGAAAGATTTTTTTAGTGATTTTCGCAATTGTCAGCACATTTTCGACAAAACCCATGGAGCTGGACGCCGACGAACCCCGAAAATTTCAAGGCCCGCCGGACAGGATTTTTGGCCAGCCGACATGGGTGGGGGGGGGGCGGCCCCCGGGTTGGGGGAGGGGAAAAGTGAAGATTTTTTTGGGAGAAGAGGTCTGAGCGCCCTTGGCCCCTTTGGGGCCGAGGCGAATTATCGGGTAAGTTGCATGTCCGAAGTAGTGGTACCTATAGACGCTTGATGATGAGTGAATGTGCTGTGGATTTGCACAGGCACACCAGATCTCTGGAAATTGTGCTTCTTAGAGTAGCTCTTAGGGTGTAGCCTGCTTGTGTCACCGCAGAACTAAAAGCGTTTCACGTTGGAGTTTGCTGGAGACAACGCTTGTTTCTGACTGGCAGTTGTTTCTTTTGTTGCCTCATGACCGATACAGGCCAGGCGTGTGGTTTGCAAGCTGAGGCATTTTGCACTTGCTGCAGTGCGTAATTTGCGTTTACAGCTAGTGGCCAGCCGGGGTCTGTTTTTATGCTGCGCAATAGAATATGTCGTGTGGGTGTGCGCGTATCTGTGCGTTGTGACGCGGTGCTTTGATGAGCGGGCCGTGATGGAGCAAAAGGAGCTGTTCGCTTTCCCGATCTCCAAAAGACGTGGCATTTGATTCCGAGGCCCCAAAGCCTCGACAGCGTGCTTAGGGTTTAGGCGTCGGCAGCCTGATGCTTTAAGGGTAGTTCATCAGACGTGATGGCTTATGATCTACCAATTTGCCTGGTGTAACTGTTTTTGGTTGGGCTCATTCTGTATTTGTTGGGGTTCTTGGTTTGCAAGTGTCTTCATTAGTTCCAGTAGTCAGCTGCTCCTCTCATCTCTGGTCGAATTTGGCTTGAGCCGGTCAAAGGTTTTCTGTTTTTATCAACTGCCGAGGTTGCTCCACCGGCACCCATTGCAAGTCAACTAGACATAAACTATGGACCTTGCATGATGGCAACTGGAGATTCGATGAAAAGGTTTCTAGAGACTCAATAGAGTGCGCAAGCTGAGAGGCAATGCACATCTCGGTATCACTTTCCCGTTTTTTTTTTTTTTTTTTTTTTTGGAATTCTTTCAAGCAAAGAGTCTTGATTTGAGGAAACTCCCAGGTGATGAATGATGTAGCCCGCATTGTTGGTGCTCACGAAGCCTCCAAGGGCCAGTTGGATTCTTGGCAACGGAGTGTTGAGGCTATTGAAGGGGGCCCTTGACGTGCAAACAGCAAAGCCCGCAACTAACTTTTTAGATGAGGCCGCCGGCCGCCGTTTGCAGGCTGTGACCCTGTAGGTTCCCCCACGATCGTGCCCCGTGACATCGAGCTCCCCGACGTTCAATTGGACGCCCACTAGTTACTCGAGTTGGGAGCCAATTTCGGCTCCGCCTCGCTCCATAACGTGGCTCGCGTTCGGATGCCTCAACCGTTCGTTTCTCCTGGCGCCCGCGGAGAGGGAGAAAAAGCCTGGCTCGGCGCATGTTGAACTACAGCAACGGTAGCATTCTCCAATGTCTTTTTGCGAACAAGACAAATGATCACTTGGCAATCTTTGTATTCCTTGGTAACCTAGATGTCCTTCGCCTGCAGGTTTGATGCTTCGTGCCCTTGCTCCGAGTCCCCAATTCCAGCGGCTGAAACACAAGCGACAAAAGACCCTGCGCTTTGTTTCAGGTTGCCGGCATGTCCTCTTCCCAGCCTCGGCGAATTGAAGGCGGACTGGAAAC